AACAGACAGGCTAACATGGAAAGGAAATATTTCAAGGGATCCCACCACAGACAAAGAACTATAGGCAACTAATGACTCTTGAGAGAAGGAGAATTAGTCTTCTCCAGGAATGAGTCCCATAATTGGTTATCCAATACCAAGTGGTCAGTCCTGAAATCACATACATACAAGCACCACTAAATGGATTCAGTGAGTTCTATTTATATATTTATGCATTATATATGCAACAATAATTAGAGGTCATAAGCCCGAGAGAGAGCAAGAGGAGGATGTGGGAGTATTTGAATGGAGGGATGGGGGTGGAGGATGTAATTATATTTTAATTTTAAAATGCAAAAAATTAATTAAAATCATTAAAATGAGAATAAAGATAAATAATATGATATATTGAGATTGAGAGCATGTTCAGAAGACTGTTATTATAGTATATTGGTCAATTATCCTGGTTTTTAAAAATTAAGTATTGTTAATCTATTGCGCTAAATTTATAAATTAAAATTTGTCAGAACATAGTACACATGGTGTTTCAAACACTTGATCTGGATCTTAGAAGATATTCTCTTCAACCAATGTGGGTACTACTCCACTTCTTTTCAATTTTTTAAATTATATCATAGAGGCACAACACTTCTGTTAGAGTGGCTTTCATCACCAGGAAAATGGAGTGAAATTGACCAATGAGAGAGGCTGTCCAGCATGACCAAAAGATGGTGAATGCATACAAGGTCCAAGAAAAGGCATGCTTCCACACAATGCTCCTAACTGCCTTGATATTTGCAAGCCTTCAAACTGCCTTGACCACAGACTGAAGTCCTGGCCTTCCACTCTGGCTGGTCTCCCCCAGCTCCTGTCTTCCCTGTGACACTATCTTGACCTGAGAGGACTCAGAGGACAGCTCTCTCCAGTTGTTTCTCTGTAGATTGGAAGTGCTTCATCCTTTGCAGAGAATGAAGATTCTCTGGGGAGGGAGAGGTGGCAGGGAGTGTTTGTTATGTGTTGGAAGGAGTCAAGACTTCTGGTCTCTGAAGGCCCATTGAGGTCCTTTTATATTCCCAGATGCCAAGTGAAACTTTTCTGGGCTGGGTTTCTGAAGAGGCCCACGGGAATGGCTTGTAGGAGGGCATGGCATAGATAAGGGACAGAGAATCACTTGAAAACATCCTGTGTGCTTGCCCCAAAACCTCCTGTGGGGTTCACATTGAAGTTCCAGTCAGCAGAAGCACCTCTACTGTCACACTCTGGGTACCTCACAGAAGCACCAGCCCAGGTAACAAAGAGCCAGGAGGCAGAGGATAAAGAAGGCACAGCAGCAGCAACATTTGTAGACTGCCTAGCATGGTGTTGGAGTGTAGGGCTAGAAACAAGAGTCTTACAGCTGCCTAGGTTGTTTGCCCAGAGTGCCTTGTCATTCAGCCCCCCAGATGCCCACTTTAAGTACTATGTTAAAGGCCTTCAATAAGTGTTCATACTGATCCACAAAGAAAATGTGGATGTGTCTGGAAAGAGAAAGAGAGAGAGAGACAGAGAAAGACAGAAACAGAGAAAGGGAGGGAAAGACAGAGATAGAGACAGATTGAGATACTGATTTACTGGCATATTGTGGGTAAAAGCCAAGATGCTGTTATGCCACATCCAGTGCACAATACGTCATCAACTATAAGAAAGTATCAGTCTTTGCTTATACACCAATGCTGAGGTTGAGGATCCCACTACTGTTATCTGGCTTCTGCAATTGTGCCCTGCTTCATCGACACTGGACCATACAAATGATTCCAGTATTTCCAAATACAACCAGATGTCCCAGAGTTCACCATGGATTTGCTTTACTCATTCAGTATTATTTACAAGAACCACTTACATTGTTGTGTGTATTTATAAATCCTAGCAGTGGGTCCACTGTTTCCTTCTACTCCATCTTGACTGTCTTCTCTGAAGTTATGAGCAAGCAGACACAAAAGCAAGCCCCTTCACTAAAATTAATGCTATAGGAAACATTGTTACATGCTTGCTCACAAATAGGTTTGAAAACTATTGTAGACACTGGAGAGGAGGTTTACTAGACTACATATCATGAGCTTATGTACATTTCTAAATTTTTTATTTTAGCTTTCCACCTAATTACTTATTTATGTGTGCAGGGAATGGGGCAGTGCATGCCATGGGGTGTAGCTGGTGGTCAAAGAACTCTCATTCTATTATGTGGGTCCCAGAGATCAGACTTAGGATATTAGACTTGGCTGAAAGTGACTTTACCCCTGAACCATCTTATGAGGCTGAGCCTATAAATCCTTAATTTCCACTTCTATACTCCTAGCAGCATTTTTGAGGATTTCTTATACCTCCCAGCCCAGCAAATACAGGACACTTTCTGCTTTAGGGAATTTTACTTCAAACAGTAAATTCAATGGCTAGCTTCATTTCCTTCTCCTTTTCTTTCCTTCCTATATTCCCTTTCTTCTGATTATTCCTCTAGTGTCTTAGTAACCCCTTTCTGTTTATATCATTTCCCATTTTTTACATCAAAATTAATACTCACTGGTTTAACATGTTTCTCTTTTTTTCTACATATATTTCTCTTATCAATTTTAGACAATGTAATTATCTTCTACCAATTTTCCATCTGCTTGCTAACATTATCTGAGATATCTTGTGACCCGAGAGGCCAATAATTTGATGGTTGCCTGATATTGGGATTTTACATATTTACTCTATCATAGTCTAAGACAGTGAACTTATTCTCCTACACTTTTTCTTTATAGCTTGATATTCATTTTTCATACCTCCAATCTGGATTCCAAGTTAATGTGGAATTAGATGCAAATAAGATTTTTGTAATTTCATTGAAGGCATTGTCTTACCACAAATGAGTAAACAGTCTACCTCCTTCTCTTGATGTGGATTGCCAGGATTTAGTGGGGGATTATGTTGTTGTTGTTTTTAATCTTATGTTTGATTTTGAATAATTCAGTACTTTTAAATCTTCTGATAAGTTTAATATGTCTCAAAGTCGTTTCAATATTGCACTTAAAAAATGACTATGGCATTGTGTGTGAAGGGCTCAGGATCCCTACGTTATTGAGAGTTGATGGTTGCTGGAGAGGGAAATTCAATTTTTTTTTTAAGGATGAGGCCCCTGGTTGAGCAACCACATTCAGGGGATGGCCCTTAACCAATGAGTATGTGAGAAGCAATAATAATAGAATTGGTTGGTTATTAAAAGAAAATGAAGACATGGAGTTGGGAGGAAGGAAGGTGAGGAATGGATCTAGGAGGAATTAGGAGAAAAGATGAGAGTGGAATATGATAGAAAATACATTAATTATGTATGTATATATGAAATTCTCGAAAAATTGATAAACATATTATGTTTTAGAAATTACCATCTGATAAGGACATATTACATGAGAAAAAACTCATTTGTCAATAACAGGAAAAAATACCAACTGTTTAATTGTTTCTGAAACTGGGAGAGGACAGTTCTGTTCTTCCTTTTTTAGAAGATTAGTTTAGTACCACACTTTTCTTTTCCTCAAGGAATTGGGTGAGATTTTTTTAAAACCATATTTATTTACAGCTGAATCACTGAGATTTAAAATAAAAATTCACTGCAGAAGTGATTTTGCAGACATTATGTCATATAAGATCATAGACTTATAACTGTAAACTTTTTACAGTTTTGTTAACATTAAAAAATTTCCTTTTGGTAAATACTACATTTTTTTGTAAACCCATGTATATTATATAGAAGATATTTTAAAATAGCATGGGATGTCTACTGGGTATGTTTGAAAACATTGTTGTGTCTACATGAACTCTTTCTAATGATTAATGAGCTCTTTTTAATGATTAATGGTTAATTTTTCCAATTAATCAATGTATTTCCACAGACAGCATATTGATGTCACATGTAACCCAAATATATTATATATTTGTAAAAATATTAAATAATTTAAAACATACTCCATTTTAACTTCTAATATGATAAAAAAGCCGTTGCTAAAACAACTTGGACGGCTCTTCAGGGCTTCAGTTTTTATTGAGGGTAAAGAGTGAGAAAGAATTCCTGAGAGTAGGAGGGACTTCAAGGGGAGGACACCCTAATAAATTTTAGAAAGTGCATTTGTATCAGGATTGAAATAATCACATGATGTTTCTGTTTAATTGGTCAGTGTGGTGAGTGTCAAGACATGATTTGTGACATTGAATCATCCTTGTTTTTCAAGAGACAAAATCACTTGACCACAAAACCTTAAGTGTACCCTTTTCATTAACTAAGTAATGTTTTACTGTGAATTTTAAAACTGGTATGTCAGGTGAAGTGAGCATATACTTTTCTTTTCCACAATCATTCTTTATTTAGAGTTATTTCATTATTTTAATTATGTGTGTGTTTCTATTTGTGTGAATATGTGCATGAATGCAGGTACCCACAGTGGCCAGGAAGGGTGTCGGACCCCCTGAAGTTGCATGCAGTTGTGAGCTGCTCAAGGTAGGTGTTAAGAACTGAACTCTGGTTCTCTGCAAAAGCAGTCTACAGCCCATGAACATTCTTTTCTGTTTGTTGTTGGTTTGGTTTGATTTTTTGAGACAGGGTTCATCTGTGTAGTCCTTGGCTGTCCTGGAACTCACTCTGCAGACCAGGCTGGCCTTAAATTCAGAGCTCCTTCTGCCCCTGTCTCCAGAGTCCTGGACTTAAAGGCATGCACCAGCCCATGAGCATTCTTACATGGATTTAGATAAAGTTAAATTAACATGCTGAAGTGATCTAAGAAGTTTTGATTCAAAACATCTTTTCAATGTTTTGAATAATAATAAGTGATTGATTTTTCAAATATTAGTAGGACTCATTTGTAAGCTCACTGGGGTTACAATTTTAGGGAAAATGAGACCCAGAAAGGTTCAGTAAGTTTTTCAAACACGGAGCTTTTAAATTGCTGTTGTTCTGTGCCAGAGCAGTGTTTTTCATCAATGTATTTCTGATCCCATCAGCCTTGGAAGCCATGCCTGGCCAGAACTACAGCACCATGTCAGAATTTATCCTCTTTGGCTTCTCAGCCTTCCCGCAGCAGATGTTGCCCGCCCTCTTCCTGCTGTACCTGCTGATGTATCTCTTCACACTCCTGGGGAACCTACTCATCATGGCTGCTGTCTGGACAGAACGCAAACTCCACACACCCATGTACCTCTTCCTGTGTGCCCTCTCCATCTCTGAGATTCTCTTTACTGTTGTCATTACCCCCCGAATGCTGGCTGACCTGCTGTCCACTCATCGATCCATCACATTTATAGCTTGTGCTAATCAATTATTTTTTTCCTTCACATTTGGCTACACTCATTCCTTCTTGCTCATGGTCATGGGCTATGACCGCTATGTGGCCATCTGCCGCCCACTGCATTACCATGTGCTCATGAGCCTCCAAGGCTGTGCTCGTCTTGTGGCCTGGTCTTGGGCTGGTGGTTCACTCATTGGGGTGACAGTGACATTAATAATTTTCCACCTCACCTTCTGTGAATCTAACGTGATCCATCACTTTCTCTGTCATGTTTTTTCTCTCTTAAAGTTGGCCTGTGGAGAAAGGACAGCCTTTGCCACCATTGTTGTGATCCTGGTGTGTGTCACACCCCTCATAGGATGCCTGGTCCTTATTGTCCTTTCCTATATCTTCATGTGGCTGCCATCTTGAGAATCCCCTCTACTGAGGGCCGGCACAAGACATTCTCTACATGTGCATCCCATCTAACTGTGGTGATTGTGCACTATGGCTTTGCCTCCATCATCTACCTCAAGTCCAGAGGACCCCATTCACTTTACACTGACACCCTCATGTCTACCACCTATACAGTCTTCACCCCCTTCCTTAGTCCAATTATTTTCAGCTTCAGGAATAAGGAGCTGAAGAATGCTATTAATAAAAGCTTCCACAGGAATTTCTGTCAACGAAGTTCCTAAGGGTCAACTCTCTTGTTGTAAAATTAAAAGGGTGCAGGTTTCCCTCGTACTCTTGAAATGATTCATCCATATATACCTGTGTTTGATTCACTAGTGATTTGTTTTCCACACTTTTTCCTTTGCCTCAAGAGCTGTGGTCTCTTATGATTTGCTGTGACCATTTCCCTTCCTCTGTCTTCATCTATGATAGTGTCATGTATGCATGATGTTTTCTATATTTTATAAAGATTTAACATTTTCATTTTTGGATATATTGTGCACTTCTATCTAGTTCTATAATTTTTAGTGGATATTCTCAAAGTGCAATATATCTACCCCTTTCTGTCTGTTGTCCCTCTTTGTAAGCCCAAGTTCTTACCTTTTCCATTACAACATTTTATTTTATCCTCCAGATAAACAAATTGACAGTGACTGATGAAAAGCAATTCTTGTATGGGAATTTATGTCTGATACTTAAGCCTGATACATTCATGGGGACAAGGAAGTATGACAGCCACACACTTGGTCATGTACATGATTCAGATTAAATGAGCAAATATAAATATAACCAATGTCTACCTCACTACTGACATAGCAATAGCCAAAAAAAGGTGTTCAAAGCTACTGTATTAGTTCTTTCCAGCTCTCATAATAGGAATATTTTTAAGTAGGTGGCTTACAAACACCATTTGCTTCTTATAGTTCCAAAAGTTAGGAAATGCAAGGCTATGCAAACAGCAGATTAAATGTGCAGTGAAGGCTACCTTTTTGGTTTATACCCAGTGCCTTCTAGTTGTGTCCTCACTTAAAAAATGGGGAAATAGTCTGACTTTCATTTCTTTTATTTGTTAAAATTCATTTGTGTGTGTGTACCTGATGTGGTGTGCATGTGCCGCAGCACCCTTGTAGAGGTCAGATAATAACTGTATAGAGTCAGTTTTTCCTTCCATCTTGGTATGGGATCCCAGCAACAGATTAACATCATCAGGCTTATACAGCAAGCACCTTTACCTGCTAAGTCACCTCGCCAGACCACCTCCCTCAATTCATTAGTGATTAATTGATTTTATTAGTCAAATTTGTTCTTTAACATTTCCTTTTCATATATGGATAAAATGTGTTTTAATGACTCATAGTCCAACCTCTGGAAATTTCACCTACTCTCTACACATCCTTTCCCACGTTTGTGTCTTTGTTTTGTGACCCCCTGAGTTTAACTGAGGCCATCTCTGTGACCACAGGTTTGGAAATATGCACGAGAGATTGGTGAGGTTACTAAGGGGTACACAACTGAAAAAAAAGGGGGGTTCCTCCTCTCCTAGAACCGTTCAGTAGCCAATAGTTCACCAGGAAGGAATAGCGTCCCAGGAGCTCCTTGCCAGTTCATAGTGGACTGTCCACCATGCCAACCCTGGGCGGGCCCCGTGTTGCTGCAGTGGCTGGGGCACCCATTGGTGATATTCTGCAGATAACAAAATATGAGGCTTAGAGAGGATATATGTTTCACAAGGTCAAAATAGTGTAAATTTTTTTCAGATGTATCAGTCATGTCCACATTCAAGAGGGTGAGGCATTTGAACTCATCATCTGGATTACAAAATGAGACATTTTCTTGAGAGAGAGAGAGAGAGAGAGAGAGAGAGAGAGAGAGAGAGAGAGAGAGAGAGAGAGAGAGAGAGAGAGAGAAGCCATGTAGTGGTGGCGCACGCCTTTAATGCCAGCACTTGGGAGACAGAGTCAGGTGGACCTCTGTGAGCTCGAGGCCAGCCTGGTCTACACAGCGAGATCCAGGACAGGCTCCAAAGCTACACAGAGAAACCCTGTCTCAAAAAAATTAAAAAAGAAAGAAAGAAAGAAAAAAGGAAATATGTTGATTTCAACACTGCCCAAAGGCTACATGTATCAAAACCTGAGTTTCATCCCTGGTAACACATGGTGAAAAGAAAGAGTTATTCCCCGATTCCTGTGGATTGTGTGGCGCATGTGCTCACATATATGCAAACAAACATGCATACACACACACAAATGTAAGAAAAGATCACACAAATTAAAAAATATCACACTATACTCTATAGAATGGACAATTACAAAATAGCAAACAATTTTTATGAAAAAAGATTATAAAAGAGATACCACAAAACATCCATTGGACAGCTTCTTCCCAAACTACCCATGAAACTTCTGTCATTATCACGAACTTGTTAAGAGGCTGGAGAGATGGCTCAGTGGTTAAGGGCATGTGCTGCTTGCTGTTGCAGAGAATCTGAGTCAGGTTCTGGCACTTACATTAGTCTCACAACCACTTGTAACTCTAGCTCCAGAGTATCTGATGTCCTCTGATGATTTCCTCAGGCACCCTCACAAATGTGGCATACCCTCACACAGACTCACTAGAAAACACACACACACACACACACACACACACACACACACACACACACACACACAAATAAGAAATTAAAATAAATCTTAAAATAAAAGAATAAAGGCAGAGATTGGAATGATGTCATCACTAGAATATATATGGAAACTTCTACCTACACTAGTAGGTTTTCATATGGTTTTTATGTCAGGTATGATTTCCCTCTTGCTGAGAGGGCCTTAATTCCAACTAGAGAGGTGATGGTTACTGGCAAAGTATGTGTGCCATTATTTCACTCTTAGGGATATCATGAAATGCTGGTTGTTTTAGACTTCAGGGAGGATGCTTTCAGGTCACAAACAGCTTGGATCCTCCAGATCTTGTGTCCAAAGTACATAGTGTCTTCAGTGTTATGTGAAGACACATAAGTCATGTCCTCTGCCTCTGTGATACAACCAAGGGAACCAGCAATAGCTTATGTTTTAGAAGTCTCTTGGATGAGCCTGGCCAACAAAACAAAAGGGGCCTTGTTCTAAAGCTTTCTATACTTCTCCAGCCTCATTTGTTGATATCTAATTGACCATAAACACCATCTTGGAAAACATTATCTAGACACCTGATTCAATTTTCTCAAAATGATAGATAGTGTGAAGCCTAGCCCAGCCTGGACACCCAGTATTGATGGGGTGGGGTAAAGAAATACGGGTAGGAGTTTTTTTATTTTTTTCTCATGTATGCATAAGTGCATGATTCATGCATGAATGTGTGAATGCGTGCATGCACACATGATGTAGATGTGTTTGTGTGGATTCGCTAGAGGAGGACATTGAGTATCTTATCTAATCCTTTATTGAATAAATGAGGTTTAGTTAAATACCCTGGATCAAAAGAATTGCTTAACTGAACATGATGCTATGCTTGTGGCCTGTATGCCCTCTCAATACTTATGGCTCCAGCTCCCACAGTTCTGGGGCTATAGGCATGCACAACTATGCCCATATTTTTAATGTGGGTACTGGGGATTTGAACTAAGGTTCCCATAGTTACACAGCAGCACTCTTATCCACTAAGTCGTATCCCTGGGTCCCTGCTAAATTTTCTAGGGGGATGAAAATCTAAGTTGAGATCTAAAGGAAAAACAGACAGAGAAAGACTAAAGGTAGCATTGGAGGAAGTGGTGTCCCAGGTTTAAAAAAAGGGGGTGGGGGGGAGAGGAGAGAAGGAAAAGGTGGACAAAGGAAGGAAAAAAGAGAGAAAGAGGGAGGTATACAACAAGAGCAAACCAAGGACAATAATAGATATTAACAAATGATAGATATTAGTAGATAGACAGAAAGACAGACAGACAGGTAGAAGATCCATTGAAAGGAAGGAGGGAGGTACATTTCAGGGTCCCTAGCCACCCTCCCTGGACTTACAGGACCTTGAATCCCTCATCCCCAGTCAAGTTCAGTGGAAAGGCATCTGGGAACCTGCCACTGGGGAAGACACCTGCGGAGATAAAACTCCCGTCCCTCCCATCATAGTTCTAGTGGTCTATACACGGGGCTCTGCAGGCTGCACTCTGCAGGCTGCACTATAGACCATCACCAAGTTTCCCCACTAAGGTAAGCAAAGCTCTTTCTTTCCAGGATAAACAGGTCAAGTGCTATAGGGAATGGACAGTAGAATACAAAGAAAATAGGGCACAGAGCAGCTTTGAATTCTGGGTCAGGAAAGAAAGGTGAAAGAATGTATAGTGGGTTGTCTATTGATAGAGGGACCTAGTTCCTAGCTGTGAGGGCCAGTACTGGGTCCCAGTGGTGCACTGAATCTATTTACTCCCCATCACTTCCCCTTTCCATGCTAGTCATTGCTTCCAGGCTTCATTCTGGGGTGATGAGTTTTCATGCTATATGGAAAGGAGAACATTTCTGAGACACGGCAAGATCAAGTGTCTGTCCTGTGTGTTTCTGTCACCTGTACTGTGTGGATTTGTACACAGTTTGTGTGTGTGTGTGTGTGTGTGTGTGTCTGTGTGTGTGTGTGTGTGTCTGTGTGTGTCTGTGTGTGTGTGTGTGTGTGTGTGTGATACACCTCTACTAAATTCTCATCACTGCCATAGCAAATTATTATAAAGACCTTATAATAATTTAAACAATTAAATGGTGGCTTAAAACAAGAGAAATTAACTCTCATAGCTCTGAAGACTAGCAGTCCTATACTAATCTATCAACAGGGCCACAAACCCTCTAAAGACACTAAGGGAGAATCTTTCCTTGTGTCTGCTAACTTCTAGCAGCAACATCATTCCAGTCTCTACCTTTAGCTTTATGGCCCCTTTATGACTATGTGACTTCTACTACTTTTTCAGTTTTTAAAAACCAACAATTTATTGTGAGTATACATGCATGATGTGTGTCAGTAGAGGCATGCATGTTCCACAGTGCACAGGGAGAAGCCAGGGGACAGCTTGTGAAAATGAGTTATCTCATTTTACCTTCTGTGTGGGTCCTAGGGATTAAACTCAGGTAGTTGAGTTTGGCAGACAGCACCTTTACCTACTGAATCATCTTATTAGCCCCACTTTTCTTAGAAGGATGCCAGTCTCTGTATATATATCACATTACAATTTAGGATGAGCTTATCTCAAGATCCCTACCTTGGTTAAAATCTGCAA